GTAAATCTTTTTGCAATAAGTGCAAGTTATGCAATAGATTACATTGGCGGAGGTGCACGTGAAGTGATCGGTGATCTTAAGGGATTGATTGGATATTTTCTCAGTGTTGTGAATGAAAGGACACGTTTTGCATCGTGCACGAGCGCATTTAAAAGTGCCTGGTTGGTCATTAGTCTGAAAAGAACTTCTGACCAAAAACTTGCCTATGTTTTTGTCGCGTTTGAATGATGACACAGACAGAGGAAATCATCTTTCAAGGAATTCTCTGGATGATAATACGGGCCTTAAGCCCAAAAGGTTTTTGAGACGCGAAAGGCAGCCGGAAGTAAAAGTTCTCGTTTCCAGTACTCATTGCACCTTTTAGGTTCGCATAATTTGGTTTAAAATGCTAAAATGATGACTTTTCAACCGATTTGATGAAGTCAAAGCGCGTCAGTATTAGTTCTATTCTTAATGACATATTTTTCCTCCAGCAATACTCACAATACTTAAATATGGATTGGATGAAAGCATTCATTTGAAAATAATCTCAATTAAAAGAGAATAGAAGAGTTTTATTGCCGTTGTGCCAACCTTTTTTGTTGTTAGTGTCGTCAAAATTTCTCGAAATAAACCTTTTTTTGACATAAAGCTAGTTTTCCCGCGTGCTGCCCAAAATATTTGATGGATAGTTGACGCGAAAACCTCCATTAACGCGATATTATAATCAGACAGTTGTCTTTGGACGTAATCTATCCCTCGTGGCCCACTGTTCGCTTTTCGTGACACATGCAGATGAAAATTGCGCGTCAAATGGAAGCTTCAGTTTCTTTATCACCGGATCAATTTAGATGCATTAAAAACGCAAACAAAGGAAGATATTTATGAATTAATTTCCTTCAATATTCGCACCAACTTATCTCATTCTCGTGGTCTCTCGTTTTCCAGCGCTGACCCTTACAAACTTACATCTATTAAACAGTTTCCTTCTCATCCGGTACTCATCAGTTAATTACAACCTAATTTCCGTACTCTAATGCATCAATCAATTCGAAGCTTTAACACCCCACTTCCCTGAGCATTTTAAGATTGGTTTGTTCAAATCCCCCTCCCCGGCCAAAATTGTCTTCAAATACTCTCTATAAGCGGCCGGAAAGGTGATACACGCGTATTCCATTCGACACTTCCATGTCAAATTCCCCACCCCATCCAGGCAAGGTTCAAATTCCCCAAATTCCCGAACGACAGTCAAACGGATGTTGAAGCTTCGATTCGATCGGTGCATAATGACCTCATTATATCCGTACTTTTTGGAAGTAGTGCATTCCTAAAGTAAAAGTATCAGACTCAAATTGGCAACTTATGAGCAGATGATCGAAACCACAAAGGAGGGATAAAACTGGGAAATGAAGGAATGAGGTCATTATGCACCGATCGAATCGAAGCTTCAACATCCGTTTGACTGTCGTTCGGGAATTTGGGGAATTTGAACCTTGCCTGGATGGGGTGGGGAATTTGACATGGAAGTGTCGAATGGAATACGCGTGTATCACCTTTCCGGCCGCTTATAGAGAGTATTTGAAGACAATTTTGGCCGGGGAGGGGGATTTGAACAAACCAATCTTAAAATGCTCAGGGAAGTGGGGTGTTAAAGCTTCGAATTGATTGATGCATTAGAGTACGGAAATTAGGTTGTAATTAACTGAGTCTGATACTTTTACTTTAGGAATGCACTACTTCCAAAAAGCACGGATATATTCGTACCCCACCCTACTAATGAACTACATTCGTTTAAACCAGGTTTCAAATGACCTTTATTATTTATAGTCTTTATTAAGACCCTCCACAACACAAAACTGCGCTAGTTGATTATTGATTGTCGATCTTAACTGTACACTAATGCAAAACGGGTTCTCAATTTCAAAGCAGATCATCGAAAACATCTTAAGGATCAAAAAAAATTTGCAAAGTTTACACATTCGAAGTATCGTTAAACTAAACGAACAAATTTATTTGACGTTAATCGCATTTAATTCTAGTAGCTCGAAAATTTTAATTAGTCCAGTCGAAACTCTGAACTCATAAAAATACTCGTGAATCTAATCCCCATTCACACCAAAGCCTAAACATGCTTTAAAGCTGTTTTGTTAAACATGGTTTAACACAACAGCTCCATAGAAGCTGCTCAAATCGATATTTGGTTGACTTCAAATGTGGCACATTGAAAATACAATTTAGCAATTGCTTGAATCTTGTGGAAATTTTAGTTTTTCAGTTCTCTGCTTCTGATTTTTATTCAGTTAAACCTGGTTTAACTAAACAAGTTTTCTGGTGTGAATGGGGCATAACTCTATAGTTAACACTAAAACTGAGTCTTTATCAATTACTGGAATGAAGTCTACAAGAATAAGCGAAATTTATCGCCGTTTTCCTTAGTAATTTACGTACTTCCTTTCCTGAAGTATCGCTCAGGTCTTAACGAGCCTTGCCCATGGCTTCTTTTTGTAAGCCAAAGCAACTGCTACGTTCAATACCGAGTCATTTCTTACTAGTAAAAATGTTTTATTTTTAGTTGATTTACTGAACTTCTTGAACAATGGAATGGACAAAATTTTACAAATATGTGTTTCGTTTACAATCCAAAGAATTATTGCACAAATAAATAACATCTAAACATCAAAAACGAAGGGAAGTGGCTACAAAGATCAAAGGTTCGGAAGTTTGTCCACGGGAGTAGTAAACTGGAAGTCACTCGGAAAAAGTTATGCTGCACGAAGATAGATAAGTCTGTACGATTGACGAATTGTAACGTCTGCTACGCCAGCGATGTCGCCAATTTCTACAAAGAAAACACAAATATTGTCATGTCGACTAATCGCAGCCATGTCAGTGCCAATATATCGTGTTGGAGGATGCCAGAGAAGCTGCACTGATTTCAACAGGTTTGCCACCTTTACTTTCTTTTGGTGCGAATGAAATAGCCAACAACCGACATTGCATGTTAGAAGAATTCCGATAAGTGTCTTTGTCACTGGTTCTACTTAACTATTATTTGTAACTGATCTAGAAACTCACACTACTCCCTTGATAAACCATGCGGGAAACCTGGACGACTTGGTCACTAACGACATTTTCCCGCGCTTTTGCCGCTGGTTACGTGTATTTACTTTGAGTTCTGATTAGTTCTTTGCGATAGCTTTCTTCCCGCTGATTGGCCTTTGATGTCAATTTGGTTAATGACATCCAATCAAAAGGCGTTTCATCCGCGAAATAAATGTCACTCCTCAGCATTTAAGATGCTTGAAGATGGCAGGTTACCCCTAAAATTTCGTTTAAATTTTCATTTCAGCTTAGTCCATAAAGATTTGATAAAAAGGTGTTAAACATATCTTATTAACAAACCGCGAGGGCCGTACTGGGAGAATGTCGGCCCGCGGTCTTTTTTGTACGGACCTCGCTACGCTCGGTCCGTACTGTCAAGACCTCGGGCCGATATTCTTCCAGTACGGTCCCGAGCAAGCTTAGTTAATAAGAGATTTATTATACGACTGAAGTTCAAAGGGAAACAAGTGCGGTATCATTCGGGACCATTCGGGACAGTGCCCGGTCCAATACTGAGAGAATATTGACCGGCAATAGAGCATTTTGATTGGTTGATTTTAGTTATTGGCCCTCTGACTGCCCGAGTCGTGTAATAAGATTAAGTAAAGCATTTAAACCTTTCTGTGACCTCTTTTCGTCCGATGCTTGAGACGCCATGTAAATTGCAGCAGCCGCAACTGAAATGGGACTTCGACTAACGAGAAATAAAAGAACATTAAAATAATTGGTAAAAGAAAAAAATTACGATCCCATAACCATTTTAGGGTTTTC